ACCCGATTACCCGCAAGATAACCCGACGAAATTTACACTTTGAACCCTTCAACAACTTGTACATGTTTAAACCGCAACACAAACATAAAAAAACAAAATATACCAACAAAGGGCAAAATAGTAAAATGATTAGATTGATAAAAAAAACCTTTCATTATTTTCAACACATCTTTACCAATTTCTTTACAAATACTTAAAATTATCTCTATTGAAAATCATTCAACAATTTGCTTTTGAGTCCTTGAGCATGTCACTTGATTGTTTTGAGGAGCATTTTCTAAGGTAACATTACGAATGACATCATTATGATCTCTCATGAAAGATAATAACTCAAAGAAAAACCCTCTATTAATGGAGTCACTCGACTCATCATGACCCCGAAATGGTAAACCATTTTTCAATAAAAATTACAATACCAAATTGAAGCACCTAAACGAAGTTTATAGTTAATCTCCTCGATTTTTCTTTGCTTCTTGAAGGATGCACTAATAAATTGTTTTTCTTTCAATAAAAATTCATAATTTTATCTTGCTTTGTGATGAAAACTATCAATACCACCCATATGATCTCTAAATGATTTTTTTATTCCAGGTATCAAAACCTTGTGAAACAAATGTATCCACCTTTTTTGTTGTCCAACCATGTCTCCACATACATAGCAAAATAAACAAAATGCTTTATTCTCTTTTATGTTATACTCTAACCAATAAAAGTCATCAAACCAATTAACAACAAAATTTCTTTCTTTTGTATCTATTTTCTTTGAAGGGAATGCATGACCTCTTGGTTGACAAGGTTCTTGAAACAAATATGCCCTTGAAGCAAATATGCCCTCTTTATTTCATCTCTTTGATTTGGATTGTAAGTTGTAATCTTTGGTCTAACACCCGGGTCTCGTGGAAGAATATTTCAATTCAACATTTGTAGTTGGAGTAGTTGTTGGTTGTGGATTTATATTAGAAACCGCAGAGAATGATTGATAAGAAGGACATGGTCTTTTAGAGGATTCTTCAAAACTTAAATCATTGGAGCATGGTCTTTTGGAGGATTCTCCAACACTTGATTTATTGATGATTGTTCTTCCAAAAAATGACCCAATTTTATCCTAACAATTCCGTATGAAACAAGTAAGCAATCAATTTATCTAACAATCTAAGTATCTAACAAGTAACAACAATTCAACAACTATTTTTAAGGTAAACAAGTACTAATTTCTTCTAAACAATAAGAAATTTCAACAAAAAACAACTAATTTTAATAATTTCATAAACCTCAAAAATTATAAATACTTACTTGTTTCATCTTATAAGAGAGCAAAATCGAAATAACTTCAAGAGTTGGAGCAAAACAAATGTCTTGGAGTTGGGGTTAAAAAACGGATTTTTTTTCTGCATCGCAGCTTAATAAAGAGCAAGGAGTTTTTTTTTTTTTTTTTTTTTTTTTTTTTTACTGCAGCAAAATCATAGACTAGGGAATTGGGTATTGGGTTTATGTGTACTGTTCCAGCTTTGTGGTCTTATGTTTTATTCTTTTTAGGCTTTTTTTTTAATTGTTTTAGGCTAGTTTTAGTTATACCATGCGTCCATGCCATTTATTTAAGAGCAATGTTTAGAGCTCTTGCACCTATATAAATTATTTTTTAACACTTACGAGCTAATTAAACCGGAACAGTAGCCCAGGACCCCGGGCTCCAAACATGTCCGCCACTGCCCCAAAGGTCAACGGCGGACGGCAGAGTCAACGACGGCAACTTTGGTGTGGTTTTAAATTGTAACATTTTTTTTTTCATAAGACAAACTGTTATTGTTAAATTTACGAATAGATTAATTTTATTACAATAAAGATGTTTGTCTGAATATTTTTGTTTGATATAAGTGGTAAAAATGCAATCTTAATTAAAAAAAAAAAAGTAAATTAAAGATGTTACATTCTGCTAGCGAGAAAGAGATTTAGGATATGGCCAAACAACATTAAAATCGATAAGTGAGAACATATGAGAATTTAATAAGAAAAAAAATACTAAAGAAAACAAGTTTTATATAACTTGTCGAATAAGACATTTCATGAAGTCACAAACAAATATCATTAAAATATTTTTTACACATACAAACGAACACATATTCATTTATCAAACCAATACATACAATTAAGTGATTAGCATCACCTTTAAAATAAGAGGTAGCTAATACAACAATAGCTCCTAACTATTATAAGCAAA